AACCATGTGAAAAATAAAAAAATGAAGAATAATTATTCAAAAAAGTTAAAATTTAATCACGAGTTTTAAAAATCGATTACTATTATATTTACTTGCATTTCGTATAAACATGTAATTAAGTTGTGCAATTTTCGGTAAAGCATGAACAAAATATCGATTGTGGAGGTGGTTATATCAAGGTAATTAACTATTAAAAGATAAGATCGATTGATAATGAATGACGTGCTAAATTTAATTTATCAACTTTATGATTTATTTAATGATCAGCTTTTACCTGAAGATTTTGATCCTTTGAATTTTAATGGTGATTCAAAATACAACATAATGTTTGGTGTAAGTTTTTCTTATTTCCATTTTTCACCAATCATTAAAATTTCTAATTTCCTAACAAAACATCATTATTAAATAATATCATAATATGTATTTTTTTTAGCCAGATATTTGTGGACCTAAACGTAAAATACACTTGATTTTTCAATATAAAGGAGAAAATAAATTAATAAACAAAAACCTTCCAACTCCATACGATCAATTAACTCACTTATTCACATTGATTGTTAAACCAGATCATGTAATATATTAATTTAATAATTCAAATTAAATTCAATCAATCAATTATTTACACTAATTAATATATATATATATATATATAATATTAGACATATAAGGTTTTAGTTGATAATAAAGAAGAAGCAAGTGGTAATTTAGAAGATGATTTCGATTTTCTTCCTCCAAAAGAAATTAATGGTTAGAATTTTATTTTATTTTATTAATTTTTTTAGTTAATTCTCTTGATCACTAAAATATATCTTATTTATGTTTTTTAGATCCTGATGCTAAAAAACCAGAAGATTGGGTAGATGATGAATTAATAATAGATCCAAATGACACTAAACCAGAAGATTGGAAAGACGTTCCACAAACAATACCTGATCCAGATGCCGAAAAACCAGATGATTGGGATGTTAAAACACTTTTCTTTTTCTTTTCCCGCCAAAGAAAGACTAAAATAATATAACGTTTGTATATTTAATAAATAGATGAGTCAGATGGTGATTGGGAAGCACCACATATCTCAAATCCCGATTATCAAGGTGAATGGAAACCAAAAATGATAAAAAATCCATTATACAAAGGCCCGTGGAAACAGCCAAAAATCTCAAATCCTGACTATAAACCAGACCCATCACTTCACGCCTACAAAACTTTATATGTTGGATTTGAATTATGGCAAGTTAAATCTGGTACTATTTTTGATAATATTTTGATTACGGACGATGTTGAATTTGCCTCGACTTTTGCAAACCAAACATTTGAGAAATTCCGTGAACAAGAAATCGAAGCGAAAGAAAAATTGGATTCATCCGAGACAATTAAGGTTTCTGATGATCCTGACGAAGAAGATCTTGATTTAGATTCAGATTTAACTGATGATATTACTGATAGTTTCAGTGGTAAAGATGATAAAAAATTAAACGTTCAAGATAATCAAGATAATCAAGAAATTCTTAGAGCGGTGCCGATTGATGATAAAATACAACAACAACAACAAAATCAGCAGCAGAAACCATCATCTCATGAAGAAGAAAAAGTTGAAAAAGTTGAAAAAGTTAGTGAGGAAAAAGTGAAAGAAGATGGTGAAGATGAATTTGATAAATTATTTGATATTCTTGCTAATGATGATAAAAAACCACACAAGGATGAATTATAAATATAAATATAGACTAATAATAGTAGTTATAAGAAATTTTTTAGATTAATTACATATTTATTTACTTTTCTTATTTATTTATATATATATATATATATATATATATATATATATATAATAATATTGATAAAAAACAACTATTTCATAAAAACTTCAAGCCTTAGTACTTCATTTAATGCAATCTTATCTTTAATGGTTTTCCAATTATCTTCATCTTTTAATAGAATCCATAAATCATTTAGACCCTTGTACCACATCCTTTCATACTTCCATCCAAATCTATATTGAACATGAAATCTAAAATAACTAAATAACTCACTTGTATGAAGAACAATTGCACGTTTTTGAGTTGATGATGTACAAGTAACATATATCTAGAGTAATTTTATGGAATAGAATATTATGGAGTTATAATAAATTAACTATAATAATTAATATAATAAATTTCCTTGCCTCTTCATTCTCAGGGTTTTGGCTGATTTTAGTTTCCGTAAATATATTTATTTGATTTTTAGCGAATTCAACTGGACTAAATTTATGTCTTTTTTCCAAATTACTCTAAATTTTTTTAAAAAAAATTTCAATCTTGTATGTAATCTCATAATATTAATCTTATTACTTCCATTCATCATTACCTTATTGATTTGACGAATCATAGTATTCAATGATTTCTCAAACATCCGTGATCTACTGGTATCAAATCTATGTTCAGGTTTAAAATTAAGACATCTTATACCATTTATTATACCTTTTGTTGGATCAATATCAGTACGAACAGATCTAAATTTGTATGGATATCCTTCTGAATGATGATAAAATTTCTAAATATGTACGAGTATGTGTGTGTACGCGAAGAGAATGGGAGAGTAGGTAAATCGATATATGTAATATACACAGTTATTTATATAAAATCACATATTTTTAAATATGATTATTATTATATTTACATGTAAATAAATATATTTAATTACTACCTTGTCAAAGTCTGGTTTAAGTTTGACTACTATGGAATTATCTTGAATAGTTTTAGCACCTTCAACATCTTTTAATCCAATACAAATTTCATCTTTCATATGGTTCATACATATAGAAATTTCACGTGTATTTCTATATAAAAGTAATGCCATATCATATTGATCTGCTGAACGTATGCACAATGTTCGGGAGCCACTGAAATGTATTTGTTTTAGTGGAAGTTTGATTTCATCTATATTCCAACTATTATTATTTTTATAATATGAACTCCTATTAGAATGCGAGTCATCGAAGAATTGTTGTTTTTGATTTTGATTTTTTAGAAAATCTGGAATAGGATTATAGAGAGTTTCATTTGATGGTTTTTGTGGTAACAATGAAGAGCCTGTAATCGTAACGTGAATGAGTATATATACATACACGATACAATACAATATGCAATATATATTTATATGTTTTATACTTAACTTGTAACCCATTCAATTTCTTCATCGTCGTCATTTTGTTTATTACGATCTTCACTTTTTTTTACAATATTGTAGTCCATTATCATTTATCATTTAAAAATTTTATTTTCTGAAAAAAGATCATGTTGATTATCTATTTATAATTTTTGGTCAGGTGAATGAGTTAAAAAATACAGTCAACCCTCCATAAGTGCACCCCCCTTGGGACCAGGCAAGACCGTGCACTTATGGAGAAGTGCACTTATAGAACAAAAGTATTTTATTGGTTGCACGTGACACTAATGAAAAATTAAAAAAATTTTTTATTTATAAAATTATTTATTGATTGATAAAATCATACATTGTAGTTTGTTTCATTCTATTTATTTTTTTTAGATTAATAAATTTATCAAGAGCATTAGCCATTTTTAATTGTTCACTAGAATTTTCTTCTTGTAGTAGAAATGCATAAACAGTTTTTAAACTTTTTGAAGCTTCACTGGCACTTATTACCACTGGTTCAATACTATCATCTTTATCATCTTCAATATCCTCAATAGGCACTTCTAGCTGTTTTTTAAATATTTCTACAAGACCCTCAATAATTTTATCATCATTATCAGGAACCTCATAAACCATTCCTTCTTCTGGATTATTTAAAAATTCATCAATTTGCATAGCATTAGATAGGTTAAGTGCTCCAATTGAATCTGAAAGTTCTTCTAATGTAGGAATATTAGTTTCTCCAACATTGCTAGCAGTATCAATGGCAGCTGGGAGGATTTTGGTATGTTGCCAGCAGTTACAAATGGTTTCAGGTGTGATTTCTTCCCAACTTTTAATAATGTATTGTATTGCCTGCAATACATCCATTTTTAAATCTTTTATATCATTTCCATCTTCAACTTGATTTAGAATCCATTTAATATGTAAATGACGATAATGTTTTTTAAAAGACATAATAATTCCTGCATCCATTGGCTGAATTTTTGATGTGGTGTTTGGAGGAAGAAAATGAACATCAACATGAGAAAGCACCAAACCATCAATCTTATGGCTTGGACAATTATCAAGGAGTAATAATACCCGCTGATTATATTTTTGAGCAACCTCCCTGTTAAACTCTTGAAGCCAGTCTTGAAAAACAGTAGACAGCATCCATGCCTTAGTATTATAACGATATGTCATTGGTAAGTTGTTTATGTTAATATTTTTAAAACACCTTGGCTTTCCAAATTTTCCAATTATTAATGGATTCAACTTGTGTGATCCATCAGCATTTGTACACAAAGCAATTGAAAGTCTTTCTTTATTCTTTTTACGACCAGAAAGTTTATTTGTAGCTAATGTTCTATCTGGTTCTAATCTGTAAAGAATAAAAAATAAGATCAAATTCTATTCAATTTAAATACAGATAATCAAAGATTGGTATTAAAATATTAATTACCTATAGAAAAGACCTGTTTCGTCCATATTATATATTCTTTCAGCAGGATAATTTCCACATTTACCTCTCAATAATGGTAAAGCATCACTAATGGCAGCTAGATCAGCTGATGATGCCTCTCCATGAAGTTTTATTTGATGAATTCCATTACGATTTTTAAATTTTACAAGCCATCCAGTAGAAAATTTCAATGTCCCTTCAGGAATTCCTAACCCAGTTGCTATTTGCTTAGCCTTTTCAACTAAAATAGCATCACTCAAGATTGCTTTGTGTTGATAAACTAAGACAAATTCCTTAAGAGCCAATTCAAGTTCGGGGACAATCACAGATTTATGTCTTTTTGCTTCTGGATTGCTAATTTCAGTGCTAAGTATTTCTTTACTTTTTTGAATAATTCTGGTTATTGTTGATTCATGAACTGTAACTCCCCATTTTTGTTCAATCCATCCAACATATTCTTTTCTGGTCAATTTATTATTTGCAGCAAATAAGCAAAATTCATATTTTTGGGTATCAGATAAAGTTATTTTACTTGAAGACATTTTTTTATTTGGAAGTTATAAAAGAATACGAATGACTTAATGATATAAAACAATTACAGTAAACAAAGATTGATATATAATAACTGGATATTTTTCTTTTTTAAAGTAATAAGTGTAATTCGATTTAATTATTAAAATTCTTAATTTTATCTGTTATGACTTTTCTTTTACCTTTTTATATGTAATAATTCCAACTATATAAAACATAAGAGCTTTGTCACCTGGATTTTATTCTCTTATTCTCTTATTCTCTTATTCTCTTATTCTCTTATTCCGTTTGTTATTCTGTTATTCTAATAATTATTTACATCTATTAAAAAGAAAGAATTAATCATTTGTTATAATAAAGAAAGAAAGAATTCTTTATTTTCTTGTTACCTGAATTATTATTTTACAATGTTTTAAAACATCATTGTACATGGAATTACTAAATTAAAAATCAATGTTAAAATTTTAAAAAGGTCAATGGCTTACTTTCTCCACTTTAGGAATAAATTCATTAAAAAATGACACTAATGTTTTCCTCACTAATAAATAAATAATGATTTCATATTGCGGCGCAGTCACGTGAAAGTCACGGGAGTGCACTTAGAGAGGGTGGTTTTATATGAACGGGACCAGGAAAAGACTGTGCAGTGCAGAACATAGAGAGGGTGCATTTATCTCTAAGTCCCGAGCTTGGGACTGGGACATAGGGTGCACTTACGGAGAGGGTGCACTTATGGAGGGTGCACTTATGGAGAGTTGACTGTATATGATGATTTTGGAAAGGTGAATGATGAAGATCGGGCTCACAACTTTTATTTCTTTATGCATGATACTTGTAAACATTTGTAAATATGTTTTTCTTTATTTCTCTTTTCTAATGCAAAGGATTTTTTAAAACAATATTAAGTATCACTATGATATCATGGTTAATATCATCTTCACTAACTTTAATAAGGTTTTCTTTGAGACATGAGTACTTTGAAAATAATTATTGTTCAGAAGGAACTTGGAGTCGCCTTGCATTAGATCCTTTGTTAAAAATTCTCACACGTCAATTGAGTGCACATAGCTTTAAGCAATGGTATGTATTCCTTTCTTTCCATTAATTTAGAATTTGATTTTATTGGACACTATATCTGAAATATCTAAAATTAATAGGGGTGAAACCGGATCTCTTGCCTCAAAATTTCGTAAGGGAACATATCCTCAAAAACCAGATTTTTGGTTTTTAATGAAAGCTGCTGGTACAACACAAGAGATTTTATATGAAGAAACATCTGGTACCCCATTTGCATCCAAACCAGATAAAAACTCTTCTGATTTATACAAGTTGTTTCGATTTGGCCGAGATTCAAAAAATATGATGACTGATCAGTTAATCATAAAAAATTTTAAACAACTACAAGATTATGAGGATTTATGGAAGCAGTTGTGTGAAATTGAAGTGTTCCTTTTTCACATTTATGGTATATTTTATCATGCTTTATTTTTATTATTTTTTTTTGATTGAAATCTGGTAATTATTCTAAAATCTTTTCAATTTTTTATAAAACAGAAACAAAGCTCAAGATATACATAATGGATCAACCAGGTCCCCATTATGTCGTGTACGTCTAATATTTGATCTTGAAATTCCATATGATTTGTCTGCAGACAAAAGCCTTGTTTTGGGTTTCATACATAGCTTATGGAAGATTCATCTAGGTTTGGAAAAGACTATGAAAGATATGGATAGCATATGTGATAAGATACAAGAACAGCAACAAGAACTTCTTGCTCAATTATCTAATGGTTCACCTAATTGTTCTATTCAAATTTATCACTCTTATCCATCTCCATAAATAGAGTTATAATTTAATCATATTCTTTTGCAGTTTTAAAAATTGAATTATAAAAAAAATTTGCTACCTAATATATTTTTTTTAACTCAAGTTTTTTGATTTATACAGTTCATCATCATAATTTTTTTCCTTTATCTATACAATTACATAATTTCCTATTATTTTTAATTGCTGAATTGATGTCACTAATCATAATTAATAAGATAAAAGTTATCATCTATAAATTTTCTATACTGTATAACCTAGGGGTATTAATTAGGACTACAGTCAAAGCTTGTTAAATTCATATATGATAAATTCATAATTCATAATTTTTCAGGAATCAGTACCACTTATATTAAAATTTTATTCCATAATTTCATATTTATAATAATAATAAAATCTCGATAATTGGAATACATATGTAAACATGTAAACTCAATAAGTCAGGCACAACAATCAATTGTTTAAAGTACTTGTAAATCTGACTTGTTGAGTTTACATAACTCTCTGACTCTTTGTATATGTCACTAGAAGTAGCCAATCTCAATTCATTTTTTCTCAAAAATCTTATCCTTTTATGATAATGGGATAATTTGATTCATAAAATTTGCTGTGCCAAACCTATATAGTTATTTATAAAAAAATTTTTTTTAATCAGTGCGAATTCATGCTAATTGATAACCACATTAAAGATAATGATGAATCTAATGTTGTAAGTATTGCATTCTCTTCAAACGAATAGATTTTTGACTATATTACCTATCTGTAAGAATTACTTTTTATAAGTTAAAATATGAATACGTTTTTCTATGAACAGATATTTTAATTGTTGTAAAAATAATTAAGTTAATTTTATTATCTTAGAAGATATGTCCTTTTTATAATAAATTACATAAATTGATAATAAACAAAATATATATATAACATTTCTAACTATAATTTATTATTAATAAAATGAATAAAGATGTTAACTGAAAAAATTTTGATCCTTGCATAGCATGTGGTAATCAAAATCCTAATATAGAATTACCACAGAAACAATATTAAAAATAAATCAGAGTCCTAAATATTAAACCTCAAGTTGATGACCAACTTTGTAAAAAAAAACATTATAATGAATTAATTGAAATTAGAAGTAGTCAAGTTTCAGGAAAAATCAGAAGAGTGAAGTAAAAAGCAAAAACAGGAGTTATTAGATAAGATAAAAAGTTTAAAAGAAAAAATTAATCATCTAGAAGAAGAAAACAGGAAATTGGAAGATCAACAGAAGGGTCAATTAACTGCTCAAAATTGAAGTCAAAGATACTAAAAGATGATCTTGATTGAAAATAAAAAAGTAGTTTTAAAGAATATTCTGTATGAATTGAAATTCACCTTAACTATCAAATTATTTTCCTTTTAAAGATTTTTGCTTTTTATTAGGCAATAATGCATCATCATCATGATGTTTTCTTTTTCCAACATTTATTATTTTTCTTTCTTCTTGGTAAATTTCATAAGTGATCCTTTCTTTTCTTAGATAAGCTTCAGTGTTTGAGTATCATTTATTTTAAAAATATAAGGTGCATTTTTTTCATCCTGTTCCTTTTTCAAAATACTTCTAATGGTGCTATAATTCTTGGGTTCCATGGTAGACCTAATGTAAACAAGTTTCATATTAATTATTTTTGTCTAGACAAATTACATTGTAATACAATTGTGATATTAAAAAAACATTATTGATCTCTGAAATTCTGGTAATATCAATGTTCACTTTGTCTGGTTTTGTTGCAGCATGCCCCATATAATCTTTTTAAATTGTACAGATTCAGAAAGAAAGATATTATTATTATTTCTCTTAAAAAAAAGGCTGAAGATGATATCAGTCATGAAAAAATTTAAAAAGTAACATTGATGTAATGGAACTTGATGTAAATATTGATTCATTTGATGGTTTATATTTTTAATCTGGTAATAAAATCAATTGATTTATTTGTTATTTTTATTTATTTCAGGCTGAAAAGGTGTCATATTGGCCATAGCTCTTTCAAAGAAAAGCATTCGCTCCAATAGAAAATGTTGTAAATAATGTGTTATTATCATCAGCTGCAACTCAACAACAAGTGGTACTGCGACTTAGATTAAAGCATATAATAGAGATATGCACCAGATCACTTGAACTATGATGATCTGATAGTTTCTTCAATTGTTGACACATCAAATCCTCACCCATGGCTTAGAAATAACTTTTCAAATGAAGAATGGAAAAAAATTTCGGATAAGTCAAATTCAAAAATAAATGATGTTGGCAATGTGGTACAATTGTTCTGATACACTCTGCTAAAACATCAATATTGAATAATTCTTCAGGAGCCAAACCCTATCACAAAGAAAATTTATTAAAATCCAAGTTGGTTAAAATGGAATAGTCAATTAGTCATTTGAAGAGAATATAATTTCCTTGTGTTGAATTCTTTATCCCATAATAAAAAGAACAATATATTCAAAAAGTGATTTACTTATTTACTTACAGAACCGATTACTTCATCTACAGATAATACTTCTTGATATCTTGTATTAGAAATTTTTTCTGCTGAATATATTTTGAGGTTCATGAAGATCATTTCCCTCCAAGACTACTTTCTTTGACTCTCTTTCAAATATAATAGGATGTTGGAGAAGGTCTTTCCCTTCTTTAAATCGTAACACTTTATCTTTGAAGTTTATAGTGGCTTCTATCTTTCTCAGCCAATTATTTCCTAGTATTACATTATAATTGGTGGCTCTCATTACAGCCATATCTATGTGTATTGGTTTTTTTCCATCTAAAGTGACTAAAACGGTTTTTACTAATCCCAATGGCCTAGTTTCTTTGCCATTGATGTCTACTAATCGAGAATTAGATTCTTGGTCAATCTGTCTTCCCAGTTTATTTAAATATTGTTGAGTTATTAAGCTAAGTCCTGATCCTGTATCGATCACAACTTCTGTCTCAATATTGTCTATATGTATTTTACTTGTTATGGCGTCTGTATTTTTGTCTGGGGCTTTATTTTTGTCTATTGCACCATCCTGCCCCTTTGGAGGTGCTTTTACCCTTTTAAATTGTTTACTTTGTTGGTTAGTTCAGCCACAGCCGCAGCAAGCATTCCTAGAGTATCTGGTGGCTTTGGGGTTGGACTTTGTTCGATTTGTAGATATTGGGT